TTTTCAATCAGAAGCAGGCCCAGAGCCCACTTCCTTTTCCTGTCCCTATCAGCCCAGATCAGACAGACAGGGTGACAGAACCGGTAACAGGGACAGATTCAGACAGCAATTCCAGTCGAAGCGGCCCTTTCAAGGAATGGGGGGCCGTCCCTTTCGCAAATCCAAGTGACGGCGGGGAGGACTCCCTCATTGGTGGCAGACTGGCTCTCTTTGCACACAGATGGCAGGCCACCACCACGGACCTCTGTGTCCTAAATACTATCAGATTTGGCCTCTCACTGGAATTCATCTCCAAACCCCCGAACCACTTCGTCCCTTACCCATCACCCAAGGATCCGATCAAGGGGAGCCTCATCAAGGAGGCCATCCAGCACCTCCTGGACATCCAGGCCATAGAACCGGTGCAAACGGGACAACAGGGGCAGGGATTCTACTCCATCTTATTTATAGTTCCAAAGAGTTCGGGGGGGTGGGGTGGGGGGTGGAGAGGAATTCTAGACCTAAAAAGTCTGAACAATCACCTGGCATATAGAAAGTTCAAAATGCAGACTCTCCAGTCAATATTAGCAGGCATCAGAAGGGGAGACTTTCTGACTTCCATAGATCTGACGGAGGCTTACCTCCACATTCCCATACTTCCGGAGCACCGAACGTTTCTCAGGTTCTGCCATGCATGCTAGCATTTTCAATACAGGGCCCTGCTCTTTGGACTTTCTTCGGCCCCCAGAGTATTCACAAAGGTTCTGGCGGCTCTCGCTGCACACCTACGAACCATTCCCATGCGCATCCAGTGCTACCTGGACAACATTCTTATCCAATCCTCCTCAGTCCAGACGGCACAGTCAGATCTGGCTCTAACCCTAAGGGCTCTTTAGGCTCACGGGTTCTCAGTAAACTTCCAAAAGTGTCAGACGGTTCCTTCGACCCGCCTCCTTCATCTGGAAGCCGTGATAGACACACTAAGGTGCGAGGTCTACCTTTCTCCAGAGCGTCAGGGCAGCATTCGGGCTCTGGTCAAGCAGATCCGAAGGAATTGAGTCTCCACACTGGCTACACTTTCCCACCTGCTGGGAAAGATGATCTCATGCTTAGTAATCATGCCCTAGGCATGACTATACTCCAGGGACCTGCAATGGTTCCTGCTTCCGTTTCAAAAGAAGGGAACCGGTTCCTCCAACCAGAGAGTAAGGGTGCCACCAAAGGTTCTGAAGTCACTCCAGTGGTGGTCGTCCCCATCGGTGAAGAAGGGACACATGTTCAAGGAACCCAACCAAGTCATACTGACCACGGATGCCAGCCTCTTCGGCTGGGGAGCATACCTACAATCACAACTGGCTCAGGGCCAATGGTCCAAGGAGGACCTAAGACACAACATAAACTGATTAGAGCTCAGAGCCATACACTTGGCCCTCCGCCCCTTCCACAACACTGTGGTGGATCAGCACGTACTAGTGCTCACGGACAACGTGGCGGCGAAAGCCCACGTCAACCGACAGGGAGGCACACGGTCCAGATCCCTCATGACCGAGGTTCAATTGATGGGAACATGGGCAGAAAACAACCTAGCCTCCCTCAGTGCTGAGCACATATCAGGAGAGCCAAATCAACAGGCGGACTTTCTGAGCAGGGCAACAGTACACCACTCAGAGTGGAGACTGCACCCAACTCTCTTCAGGGAAGCGTCAGAGAGGTTCGGCCATCCGGTGCTGGACCTATTTGCCAGTCCCAGGAATACCCAGCTCCCAAGGTTCTTCTCCTGCTTCCCATCACTGGGGGCGGAGAGAGCAGACGCGCTCCAGGGCCACTGGCCGAAGGGACTGCTGTACGCCTTCCCACCTCTCCTCCTGATGCAGGCAACCATCAGGAAGATATTGCAGGAACAAGCAGAGGTGATACTCATAGCGCCACACTGGCCAAGACGGCCGTGGTTTGCCGACCTCGTAAGTCTTTTGGTCTCACCCCCATGGAGGATTCCCCAGGACCAAATCTCACTCAGCCAGGGGGCTCTACAACACTCAGAGCCGCAGTGGCTCCAACTAGCCGCCTGGCACTTGAATGGAGCCTCCTAGAAAGGGAGACCTATTCACAAAAGGTTATCAAGACGATCCAGGCCTCGAGAAGGCCTACAACTAACAGAATTTACGACTCCACGTGGAGAAATTACTGCAGTTGGTGCGCAAAACAGCAACTAGATCCTTTCAGGATTACTATCCCAAGAGTCTTAAACTACTTGTGGGAGGGACTTGAGAGGGGCCTAGCACCCAACACAATTCATAGACAGGTGGCCGCCCTATCCACTATACTCACATATGGCAACTCTGAACCACTGGCCAAACACCCAGTGGTGCGATCTTTCATAAAGGGCGCAACAAACATCAGACCACCTGTGGTCCACAGATATCCCTCCTGGGACCTGCCCAAGGTCCTACAGGCCATTACCGCACCTCCATTTGAACCTATCTGGACATGCACGTTACAATACTTGACAATTAAGGTCGCATTCCTTGTCGCCGTCACCTTGGCGATAACGCATTTCAGAGTTGGCAGCACTATCAGCTAGAGGAGATCTCTGCACATTTCACAAGGATAGGTGGTCCTATGTATGGACCCCTCCTTCATTCCCAAGGTCAATTCCTTATTCCACAGAGGTCAAGAGGTAGTGCTACCAGATTTTTGTCCTCAGCCCTCCCATGAATTAGAGCGCAAGTGGCACACCTTAGACGTTCGCAGGGCCTTAAAGCAGTACTTAAGATGAACTGCTCCCTTCTGCAAATCTGAGGCCCTGTTCGTATCCTTCCACTCACACTCAAGGGGTTGAAGGGTCACAGCTTCCACAATCGGCAGATGGATCAAGAACTGCATAGCAGAAGCATACCGGGGGCAATCACTCTCAGTCCCTAGACAAATCACTGCCCATTCCACTCGCAGCGCTGCAACATCAGCAGCGTGGGCAACTCAGGCACCGATTGAGGAAATATGTAGGGCGGTGACGTGGGCATCGCCTTGCCCTTTTATCAGACACTACAAATTGGATAAGTTTGCATCGGCGGAGGCCTCATTTGGCAGGAGGGTCCTTCAAAGCGTAGTGTCAGAGAGTGGGACACAGGCCCAGACGGCTTCCCACCCACAGGGACAGTGAGGCTTTGGTATGTCCCATTGGTGGATTGTCCACTCGCCATGCTGGAGAAGGGGTGTTGTCTTACCTGAACGCCTTTTCTCAGCATGACGATGGAGAATTCACTCCCACCTTTAGGGCCAGTCAGGTCCTGTGCTGGGAAGAAATTGAGCCAACACATTAAATCATAGTCAACAGCTTCGCCTCAGTTGAGACTGGGAGTGGTCTCAAGAAGAGGGCGTGGCGATTTGGTTGACTTAGTCTATACGGGAAGAAGACAAGCAAAACCCATTGGTGGATTCTCCATCGTCATGCTGAGAAAAGGCGTTCAGGTAAGACAACGCCCCTTCTGTGAGACATTTTCCAAATAGGATATCACCACCGAAAAAGATTTAATTTTCATTATCTCTCAAATGAATACCTTGAGCACTAAATAGGTACATAAAGATGAAATAGTCCTTCAAAAATCCTGGGCTCTAGCATGTATGGATTTAGAAGGGAAAAGTAGAACTTTAAATAAGTTACTGAAACGGAAAGGCAACCAATACAGATTAAGAGGCATTGGCATAATGTGATTGCATAAGCTCCTGAACAATGTAGCTTCTTGGTATTCAGAGATTGGGCTCACCAGGTAAGAGGGAGACGGTTGGGCCAAGAAAAAACTTCCTTTCTATTCTTGGAAGGAGATCTCCTCAGCCTTTGGCCCCGTTTTGGTATCCCATTCGTTCTTGATTCTGGAACCAATTCAGAAATGGAATATGATAATAGCAGTGTTTTGGAGGAGGGATGAGGAACCATTGAGAGACAGACACTAGTCTAAAATTTACTTGAGATGTGTTCAGTTAATGAATGATGATGAAACTGTGAACTGAGGAATGAAAGAATATATCGACCAATCAATCAGAGCTGGAGGGGACCTTGGAGGTCTTCTAGTCCAGCCCCCTGCTCAAGCAGGAGACCCTACAGCAGGGAATAGGCAATAATACCAATTTTGCTAAAGGGGAGGGGAGGTCCCTGCTGCCTTGAAGGAGGTGGTGGTGGGGCTATGTTTTGTGAGTGGCACTGGTTAAGAGGTGGCTTCTACATGCAATTCAAGGAATTAGTTATCACTTTTGGAAGTTACAGGTCTGCCTTCCGATGTTTAGGTTTTGTTTCTTGAAGAGAAACAAATGTATTGTACTTTATGACTGATTTTTTTTCTGTTCTGCCCAAAGATGTTATATAGAGTTGAGCTCTATAATATTGATCAATCAATCAATCAATACATACATACATACATGCAAGAAAGAAAGAATAGTCTCTAAATTATTCACCCCAAAATATGTCATTTGTTTTACTGTATACATAATCAGCTGCTTTATAATAGAAGTTCTCATAAAGCAAATACATGTTAAACATGCAATGTAAAACAATGTAAAACAACTATTAAAAATTAAAGCACAGTTTAAATGTGCATTATGCTTCTACACTTGCATATCATGTAAAACTCATTTGAAGCCTGAGGTTTTTCTAGAATTGTGCATGACAGAGAAATGTGAAATAAATATATAGTTTAAGTAGACCATGTGTGCTTTATTATTTTTCTAGTTTTTAGGTTATATTTTCAATTGCCAAATTATTAATGGATACTAATATAAAGAATTTATTGTGCTTATTTGGTGATACAGTATTTTCTAGGTAGTTAATATTTGTTTGTCTAGGCATTCCCAAAAAATAATTTAAGGAGCATACCAGATCCCCTTTTGCCATTTAATTTTAGTCTCATTGTAATGAAATGTTCTCCCATTTAATATATTTGTCTCCATCTGGCTGCTGTAGGCAGCTTGTACTGTACAACAAAGCAAGTTGTATACATGAACATGCTTTTTGTTTTGTTTTATATCAGTAGCTGTTATGGTCGCCAAGCAATCGTTGTTGGTGAGTATAGTAAATAGTAACACAGTAATTTTTAAACGATCTGTAGAGTAAACTTTTTCACATTATCAGGTTTGTTCCCATTTCATACTAAACCAAAACTGCTAGCTTAACCCTGGTTTACTGTGCATAAGTAGCATGAAATTGCTTTCAGTCTTTATGTCTACCTTTCATATAAGGTAAAAGTAACAAGAAGCCTTAGCAGCAGTATGACATCAATTAATGCAGACTGGGCAACTTTTCCCGTCAGGAGCATATTTTTTAATACAGATGGGGATATGTGTGTGTGTGTGTGTGTGTGTGAGAGAGAGAGAGAGAGAGAGAGGGAGGGAGAGAGAATAAGCCTCTAGGGGTCACAGGGCATAGTTACTTTGGTAAGGTTGAACTTTTCAACTTTTATGGTGGGGGGTTGTGACTGGTTGTTTTAACTCAGAATAGCACATTGCTTGGTGGAAGAAATGTGGACAGAAAATAGAGCTATTAAAATTGTTGATTTATCAGAAAATTTCAGGGGCCTAGTACTGGAAAATCTTGGGACTGCAGGTTTAGCACAGAGGGAGTCTATGCAGGATGTCAATTGTCCATCCTTGAGTTCTATATTATCCAAATCCAGGTTTATTGTTCATAGACCTTGATTTGTTTCTTGTTATGTGTTTGACCTGTGTGGGAACAAGAAACACTAAAAACCTATGTTTAGATGTCATGCGAAGCTTTCTGTATCTGGTTGGTTTTGTTCTATTGTGGGATGGGAAAACTGAATTGGGAATGAATGAATTGGGAATGAATTTGTATGGGATGCTGCTCTTTTACAGTAAATCAAAGAAAGCCAACAATTCCACCTTTTCATTTCCTGCAAACCCAGCCACCGTGCCTGCAGGGAAATTCCTGATGCTTGCCCCCAAAGCCCTAGATCTTGAAGAGGATTCAGAGGAAGATTCTGTGATTCAAGAAATGCAGCCCATAAAACCCTAACCTTTTTGTGACTACACTGAAGAAATCAGAGAAGGTTAGGAGGTCATCATCATCATCATCATTATGGGTAGTCTTTGACTTACAAATGTAATTGAACTAGGAATTATGGTCCCAAATTGTGCCAGTTGTTAAACAGGCCATCACGTGACCGACCTGTTTTTGCAACATTTCTTTTGTGGTGGTCGTTAAGTGAATTACCATTGTCGTTAAGTGAATCTGCAATTGTTAAGTGAACCCATTGTACAGAATGGACATTTTTCCCAAGAAACCGTCAAAACCCATAAATCATGGTCATGTGACCATGGGATAATGCAAACAGCTCTAAATGTGGGCCAGTTGGCAAGTGACCAGAATGAGTCCCCGGCGTTTCTCTGGCTGTCATAAATTTGAATCCAGGTTGTAAGTACCTTTTTTGGGTCCATCATAAGTCAAATACTAGCTGTATTATTATTAATATGATTGGTCTCATATTCAGCTAGATGTTGAGTCTTGATTTTGCATTTTTATCCATTTTCCGAGTCTTGCAAGGACCTGGGATAGAGGTTTGATGGTGTTTAAAGGTATTGTCACTTGTAACCAGTATTCACTTCTAAACTTTTTCTTGACTTCAGTATACTTGGATGTTGTCAGGTGAAGGATGCCCACGTATTTGTAGTGATCGTCTTCATCCAGACTCTTAATGTTACTTCTGTAGGGCATCTTAATTCCTTCAATTTTCACTATTCTTTCACAGTTGAGAGTGGCACCTTCATCCAGACCAAACTCCATTGCAATATCTTGGCTGTAAATACAAATAGTGTTCAGCAGTGATTTGAGAGACAGAGACAGAGACAGAGAGAGAGACACACACAGAGAGAATGCCATATTGAGGAGTTATAAAAGAAACTTTTAAACTTGATGTTATTCAAGTATTTTTAATGGAATGACAAAAAAGGGAGTAGAGTTCAGGAGGAAGAAAATAATTCAAACCAGCTTGAATATGTGTGTTTCTGATTCTTTGGGGACTGTGCATAGACATTGAAAAACAGAAACACACACACACACACATCAAGATTGTTTCACTTATCAAGACTATTTACATACACAGATTGAAATGTTGGATGATTCAAGCAATTTTTTACTGCAGTGCGGTATGGGAGTAGCAACAAACATTTTGAAGAACCAGTAATTACATGTTGTTTTCCTCTGCCATAGCCATTGCACACAATTATACTCAAGAATTGTGTAAATCCAGCTAATAATTAAGCATCCATTATTTTCTTTCCTTCTTCTATTCCAGGTTTATTTTTTTATGCTTTGGCATTTAACTTGATTTAAACATAGACAAAAGATTTTGTTTGTTTGTTTAACATAGAGCTTGAAGTTGCCTAGAAACTTGAAAAAGTTCAAAATTGGAAAAGTTCAGAAGGATTTATAAGAATTAAGTATAATTTGAAAAGAAAAAAAAATAATCCACCATTTATACCAGATGTGTTGGTGTGCCACACAGTAACATTTTTAGTCAAATGTAATTAAAAACACATTTAACTCTATATAGTAATCTCACATTAAATTATTATTATTTTCAAAGTACCCCTCAATCTATTTGGTGTTGGTGGAGTGCCCTTTCTGAAGGGGGTGATATGCAAATATGTCCAGTCTTAAAATCATATACATCCCCATATATGTGATTGACAGTATTTACAAGGTTAAAATAAAATATCCTTTGAGTCAAATATGTCTCCTGATAATTTCATGGATACGTGCAGTTTTCCTGGCATTATTATGAAAGTAGTTTTCCATGGTCACTGCCTCTTTTTTGCTGAATTCTCAGCCTAGCCTTGAGATCTCCAGTTCTCTGCTTATCTTCTGAGCCCAGACAAGATGAACCAGGTGCTGCCACCTGCTGAGGCACTAGCAAAGTAATATAATCTCAGTATTAATAAGCATGATAATTGGAATAGAAAAGGAAAAGAAAAAACAGGCCTGGGAAATAAACTGAAAAACTCCCTACCCCATTCCTCTTACTCTTTGTCTCTTTGTGCAAAAAAGAAAAAAATGAAACCCCAAAATTTAATTTTTGACAAAAAAAACCCCATCAGGTATCAGTTGTTGCAAATCAGGTGTCAGTATCAGTATCAGTTTCACCATAGCCTGTGAATTGTTTTAGTCAAACTGCACACCTGAAAAATCTACAGTTCTTGATAGAATCTAATACTAGCCAAGAAGAAAATGTGTGCATTTAATACATGTACATTTAATCCAGAATCATATTAACAAGCTGCTGGTTTCAGTCCAGAATGTGGCAGTTTGAACATATTAATTTTATCACAATATCTGCATTTTTTTTTTAAAAAACCCCATATTGAGGCAATACCTTCAGTTGGATTTAAAAGACCACAATAGTGTATAAAAAAGCCCTTTCTCAAAATGTGTAACATTTTTCTGGTAGCATTTTTTTTTTCTTTTCAAGAAAAACTAATCTTTTATTAATCTGTAGGGAAAAACATTATTGAACAGGAATGAGTAGAACAGGGTTATTTAATCAGTTTTGCTTACTTAATAGAATAAAAAAAATCAGCTAAAATCTAAGACTGATAATTTATGTTCAAGTTTCTTGGAGGCCTAATCAGTCATTGAATTATGGAGCTCATGCAGGTTTTTTTTGTCAGTAACATATATTACTTCTTCAGTTTATTGAGCAACATTGCACAAATAAAAGGCCAACAGTACACAGATGAGGGAGACACAGTATTTAAATGACAGCAGATTAGTTAGTAATCTAAATCTGAAAAACTACCCTGGATGATACTTTTTACTGATGGAAATAAATTTTGGTGAACTTGTTCAACCAGTTAGGTTTTAATTATCAGGGCAAAATGGATAGCATAAATTTGGAGACAGACAGGCATCAACAGGTAATGCCAGAGAGACTATTTTTTTCCAGTTGCTAGCTTTTATATTTAGCTAGTGCAAAACATTAAAATGCGGGCAGTGAATTAAAGATGACAATATTCTGATGCTGATTTGAAAGCACACATGCTCTATGGAGAAGTTGCAAAGTCAGAGAGGCGTGCATTTATGGCAGAATAAGCTCTCAGAAGTCAGAATCATGGAAACTGCTGAGCAGGATATTTGAATAAAAATAGATTGCCTAATTCCATTTACAACAACTAAAATGGTCCTCAAATGTTTAGACAAGCATTTTGGCAGGTTCTGAAAAAGGAATACAGGGAGGGGCTTCAGAGTGGCATAAGTGCTCATTATCTATTGGAAATACAATGCATAATATTTGTAATATTTTTTCAGCTCTTTAAAAAAACCATTTTTCCCTGAAGTCACATATAATCCTTTGTAGTTATTTGTAGTTACTATTGTGCAACACTAATAAAACAATGTGTTGTCCATTCCAAAGGAAGGTCACAAATTCACATGATCAACATAAAAAACACACCTAAAGATGAGGATATAGATTTAATTTTGTGCATTAATGGTGCATTAAGTACCATTATTCAACTTGATCAGATTCTAGAACATCTGGAAGACACAGTGTAGGGAAGACTACTTTATACTTTCTTCTGCAGTAGAAATAAGACTGTGATAGAACAGTGTATTTACTAGATATTGGCTTTCTGAAGAGATGAATATTGCAATACATTCACACGAAAGAGAGTAAAGAGATAATACGTGTGTTTGACTAAAGCTCCACAAAACTTCAATTAAGACCCTGTTCAACTAAACCTATAGCCACAAATGTATGTATGTGTTCATTTATGCAGCATTCATTACAACACTCACAAACAGCAAGGACTGGGCTCCAAAGTTAGTTAGATGTCAAAAAATAGGAAATAAATTCAGCCTCTCCTAGATCCAGCTGCATAGATGTGAAAATTTCTGTGTTTCTCAATTAGGTAAGAGGTTTGAATTTTAAGTATTAAAAAAAACAAGAAGATATTGTTTATTTTTATCTGTTGTTTTCTCAGGTTATTTCCAAGAAAAATGGTAAGAATATGAATAGGAGTTAATGTTCACAAAACATTTGTATACCCAGTTAAGATTTTGAGAGCTAAGGTTTAATTGGGTAACTATTTTTCTTAGCTAATTACATTTTAAAGGCAATTTTGTCATAAAGTCAAAATACTCTTGGTTGTGCTGTGCTTTAGTTCTATTAAAATAAAATTTCATAAAGTATACTTTTGATTTTGTTATGAGTATAATTGGTGTACATTAAAAAAAACTGGGATTTTTTGCTGATGTAGTAGAAAAGTAAATAAATGTCTTTTTACTCCCTTGGCAGTTTCCCACAATCAGTTCAACAATACTGATGTTGAAAATTAAAGGATTACAACTTTGGGTGGTAGAAGAAACTGAAGTAACAGATGGTTGCTAAGAAACAAAAGGCTTCTATTAGCCAAATAAAAAAGAATACGTTAAAGGCAAGAATGAGAAGACTAGAATTATGCATGACTACAGTGATCTTTTTAAATCACTGTACATGGTTATTTCATTTTCTAACATACAACCATTAAATAAGCAAGCAATGCTGGAATGTAATAGGAAGAAAAACTATATCACCATTAATATCTATATTATTGTTGTCAACTGTCTTACTTACTTTATTTTTCTTTGTGATTGATTAAATAAAAATTGCATCCCGAGTTTAGTGAATATTTTACAGTAAGTCTACTGGTGGCAGAGATGTAAAACTATTCTCCTTTTTTGGCGACTTTACTGTTTTTTGAGCTTTTTCCAGAGATAATTTGGGAATGCAATTAAAATACTGTGTGCTCTGGCAAGGAGTTACCCATTTTACTGTTAAATTAGGGAATGAATGCACGTACTCTTTTAATATTAAGAAAAGTGAGAAACTTCCCTTCAAAATTTTTTTTATTAAGAACCTAGTTAATGAAATACTACCGTGGCTCCATTACATCTGTGGTATCTATATTCTCCAGACAGGAGTGTGTCTATGGCCATCTCTTTTAATACTCACCAAATTTCTTGGCCAACTCTTTTTTTAT